ATATCATATCCAATAATATATAGTTTTATTAAGCAGATATTCTCCAGCCATGAAATATTCTAAGAGGTGGGGGTGGGGAGGGTAGGAAATAACCTGTAAATTACATGTACAAAACATTACACTCTTTACCATTCTAAAATCTGACTCTGCACCCGATTAGCCTACCATTGATTTTTCGGCAAAAAAAGTCATTTATTGTCGATCAGCTATTAAGATGTGCCTCATGTTTCGAATTGGAGCAAACATTGCAGTTTCTTTTTCTCTGGACTTGTTACGAAGCATAATTATTATTTTCAACAAGTGTGTTTATCTTTTGTCTCTTTTCTCGTTGAGGATGCGCATTTCGTCCGCTTGATGACACGCCCATAGGAGAAACTTATACCAGGAATAATTATAACTTCATTATTCATACAGATATGTTCCTTGAGTTTTCTTTGCCTGGTACTTAAAAAAAGACAGGAAACGACATGCATACTATGAGATTTATCCAGATTGGTTTGGATTTGAGGGTGAAGGTTCGAAATATGCAGCAACATTGGTTTTGGTCTGTTGGTGATCAGACGTAGGCCTATTATTATGTGTCTGCTACGTCCTTAAAGAGTTAATCAACAAAATCTCTATAAACTGAAATACTGAGACAGTTGCGTAGTGGACGGGGTAGGATGGGGAGGGGGATACACTCACTCATTAATTAGAAACGTCAAAAGAAAAAAAAGCACAGGTCAAAAATAGGAGGCGGGCGAGATTTTGTCACGGAGAAAAATCATCCTTGACCCTTCTCTTTTAATTTCTTTGTATGTTGTCCTCTAGATTTACGCTTCTCTTAAGCTCTTAAAAGCTATATTTTGTGTTGCAAGTGTAACTAAATGGACAATTTAAAAAAAAATCTAATGTCATGACTTGGTCATGAGCACTGAGTGACAATGGCGATCGGGTGGAAAAATGAAACCTGTTTGTATTGAGCACGAGTTTATACCGAAAGCGGTACTGTCTTTGGAGTTGTTCTGTCCAGAACTTGGTCTGTCTCTGACGGGGCTGGATAGTGGGGGGGGGGGG